TCAGTGCATTACTTATTGTTTTCTTTGAAACAATCGTACCTGCTAATTCCAGGTCTTTCTGAAGCTCTCCACAAGTGGTCCTTGGCTCTTGGACAACTCTTCTGATAATTCTTTTCACTCCTCTGTCAGAAATCTTGTGAGGAGCACCTGGTCGTGGTCRGTTTATGGTGAAATAATGTTCTTTCCACTTCTGAATTATGGCCCCAACAGTGCTCACTGGAACCTTCAGAAGTTTAGACATTCTTCTGTAACCGATGCCATCATTATGCTTTGCAACAATAAGGTTGTGAAGGTCTTGAGAGAGCTCTTTACTTTTACCCATCATCAGATGGTTCTTGTGTGATACCTGGCCATCATTTGGGACTGAACCAGCTGATATTAACTTGCACTGACAAGGGGCAGGCTTGCTTTCTAATTACTGAGAGAGTTCAGCTGGTGTCTTGGCTTTCCATGCCTTTTTACACCTCCCTTTCTTCATGTGTTCAATACTTTTTCCCTGTGCCATTCCACATTATTACAAATAACTTCATTTCTGGACATTTATGGTTTGATTTCTTTGTATGTATGGATCACTTGGGTTGTTACCGACATCTGGTGAAAATTTCATGTCATTAGCACCTCTAGTAATATATTTACTGAGAACAATGGTGACGTGTTCAATACTTATTTTACCCACTGTATGTATCAGCATCGGCAACACTAGCCCTGTATTTACTTGGTGTCGGATCAACACCAAATTTTCTAGTGTCTCTCATCCCTAGTCTAATCTAAACAAGACTGCTAATTATGGGTGGCTCAAATAGTTTGTGATCTTGAAAACAAATTGTAATGAAACCCACATAGCAACTGGATGTACGTCTAYGACTCATAAGCTGTGTCCTAATTCAGGGGTTGCATCCTTCAAAAGACCCAGTCTACCTGATCTATATGAGCCGGGTCATTTGTCAACCGCAAAGTCCAAATGAAAGTGGCCTTAACCCGGCGTATGTCCCGTCGCCTATAAACCATGACAGCTAGAAGGAAGCAATGAAGATCAAAATCAGATCAAAATTAGCAAAATGTTATTATTATAGTAAATTAACTAAATTATCTTAGCAGCAATCCTTGAAGAACTACAGCGCCACCAAACGTGAGATAGAGGAACTGGTAAGTCCTAGAGAGCTGAAATTCGAGACATACGTAGGTAGATCTCCCCAAATCAGGAAAAAAGTCTCTTGGAGGTATGCCCTAAAACCAACAGGAAGTCGGCCATTTTGTGTCAAAAGTCAAATTTTGGCCGATTTTCTACTTCGCTCGCGTCGAACCTTTTGCAAACTCCTCCTAGGGATTTGGTACCCGACAAGTTTACGATGACTTCTGACAAGAAAATTAAAAACCATGTCTACGCAAAAGCCTAACAACATAACCGCTTTAAACTTCCTGTTTTCATTTCTTATTTAAAACCACTCTGTGTCTCGCTTTGTCTGCCATTACAAGTAAAAAAATAATAATTCATGGTCGATATGCAATACATCTTGGAATATTGTGGGATGAGAAGGATACACCGGATCCTAACCTCAAATCGGGGGGGACACATTTGTGGGCTACAATTAGAGRAGCCTTCATATTTGGACAGCCTTTGGCGCATCGCTGTGACGATTCGGCCTTTGAAGGATGCAGACCCTGAATTTGGACACTTTTAGAGGTGACCCCATTAAAGATGGCCTTCACAACCAAACAACCTTAGGAAATACAAAAACATTGTAACTAACTCAATAAGTCAATATTCACCTAAAACTTGCTGTGGTACTATAGGAGAGATACAGAACCCTATGAGAGCGACACGTTGCATAAGACCTTCGCTTCAAATTTTGTTATTAACTGGTAGCGTCAACCTTGTTTGTCTGTTAGCAAAATAACTCATGAACCAACATGGAACGGCTTTTAATGAAACATAACGGAAATAACGATCGAACAAGTCTCTACAGCTGATTAATTTTTGGTACCAACACAGTCAGCTGGCCTTGTAAAACACAAAAAAAATGACTAAAATTCAGTCAGTGTTACAGATTTTAGGATAAAATTGGGTGTGGTAGTAACTGAGAGTCATTCACAACACATACTTTAAGTGCTTCTCATTGTACAAGATCTTAGTTTAAAACGTTAGCATTAGCCGTTTCTTATACAACAAATGATAAGTGCAAAGCTTTAAATGTTAAACACGTTGGTGAACTCGTGATTTGGGTTCATTTTTTAGGCAAAAACACACAAGTTTGAATTCTAGCAAATGCCAAATAAAATATGATTAAATTTTTTTGAAAATGGGAGGAAAAAGATTGTTTCCACAAATCGCTATGTCTAATAAACTGAACTATCCTTTTAAGTCTGCTGTATGTAAATTTAAATGAAAATAATGGAACAGAACGCACCTCACAGAACAACAAAGGTCYGTTTGACTGGAGAACATTGCATCACTTTTGTTCCCACAGTGCACTCCTGTCATTTCTTTGTCCATATGTGTAAAAAGGAAGTCGGCAATTATTTGTTATGACCGATACGTCATGTACGTCTATAAATACTCTTTCAAGGGGCCATGACTCAACTGGGGACTGTTTGAGGAACTCTAACCAGTGTGTGCCGAGTTCTGGTTCTCTCACCGGGACCCTGAGGGACTCCTGCACCTGGTATTCCAAACTCCATCGATGACACTTGCATCAGGGGCCTAAACGAAGTGTCACGGACTTTTCTTGGATCCGATCCTTCTCGACTCCAGCGCTCTCCACCGCTGCAAGGGTCACCTGAAAGTTCCTGTGCGCACGCATGCCTGCTTTAACAGGTTGCAGATGCTTCCGTCGGCATCGATACATTTAGGAGCAGCAATCCTGCGGAGATGTTATTGAATTTCTTGCCTGACTTCAAGCAAAGCGGTGCGTTCACTCTTGGAAAACCGAGCCTGAAAATGACATAATGACTGCTCATAATGGATGATGCAGGGAAATGTAATATCCAATGTTGTGCGTTGGCACAGTGAAAGACAAACTCAGTCACAGTTACCACAGTGATTTTCTGTTTAGTGTTTGAGCTTCAGTGGATTGTGTTCGCAGCCGGGTGCAGAGCTCCGGGCTTGGGGAACGCTGGAAGTTTCAGGGAGCGTTGGTTGTGCGGTCGGACATGACACGCATCAAAACAATTTGAAAGTCTCCAGCTCACAGCGCAACGAGCTGAAAGCCTCGAGGGAGGAAAAGCAGAGAGGAACGATGGCTGCAGCCACCATAATAAACAGAAATGTTTGAGTTGTGACTGAAATGTCAGGAGGGATTTTTCTTCTTTTCTGTTTTCAAGCATCTCTTGAACTTTTTTCTTTTGCGCAGGCGACATTTCAGGACAGCTAAAAGCAACGATAGAAAACATTCAGTGAACTGAATTTGTGTTTATTGATATGTATCTGTCTTTCTACATTTTGATTCATTAGCCGTGTCTCTATCAATGTTTTTATTCGTATTTTGAAGTGTCACGTTAGAAAAGGTTGACAAAAACAACAAAATTCGAACCTCAATTTTGAAAAAAATAAAAAAAAAAGCTTTTATGCTCTCTTGAGGTGGTTTTTGAATTTTAAAAAATATTGTTTAAAAAAGATGAAAACACATTTGCCAAATACCTTTTATTCTATTTATTTATTTAACCTTTATTTATCCAGGTAAACTGTTTGAGAACCGCTTCTCATTCGCAAACATGACCTGGCCCAGATGTTTCCGCTGTCAGGGTCTTCCTGGATTTTACCAAAAGAACTGCAATTTTTTTATCTCTTGTCTCCAGACAGCATGTCGCATCGCCAGTACTAGCTGATATAACAGTACAGTTACAACCTGATAGCAAAAGATGTTAATTCAGTGTTGAATTATGGTCAAAAAAAGGTTGATTTTTGGTTAAGGTCTATGATTGATGGTGAATCAACCATCAAGCAATCATCCAGTTCTATCCAATTAACCAATGTTGAAAAGATGTCTAATCAATGAATCGACATTGATAGTATCAGTTATGGTTGAAAACCTGACATTGTTTCAACAAGTATATCACTTTTTGTATAATTTCAACATGGATTAAATATCATAATTAACCATATTTCAATGTTGATTCACTCATATTTCATGAAAGCTTTTCTCCGTTGTCCTGATGTGTGGTTCCTGTCAGTTTGCAGCCTCTAMTTTCTGTTTATCACATCCATGAGTTACGTCAACATCTGATGAAATTACGCTTTGTGCTTCTTAGATTATCCGCTCCAAATTTGTCTAATTTTTCTTTTTTTGTGTGACATTAAAAAAAGCTCAGAATTTGCAATGAAATTGGACGGAAACGTGGCTACTGTCGATTGTTTCAGCCTCACTGGAAAAATTAGCTGTCTAAAAATAAGTTWAAAAWTACTAGATTATAATCTGAATCTTCTCAAATTAAGTGAAATCTACCAGTTCAGTAAAACAATTGCACTTTGTAAGACTTTCTGAAATAAGGAAAAACAACTCCAGGCTAACAAGATTAATAATGGAACACATTCTGTTCTTGCTCAGTGAATCAGTCTCAAAACAAGATGAAAACTTTAATATTTTAAGCCAGTTGTAAAACTATTAGAATAACAATTTACGTGTAAATATTTGTGCAACCTCTCATTAAATTATACTACGATTTTCCGTTATTTATTTATTTTATTTAAATCATGCACATTATTTAAAATGCCAAATTAGATGAAGCAGTTTATATATTAAAACAGTTTATTTTTAATCTAAACTTTAGAAGAAATGCAAAAGTTTTCATTTTGACTTTTGGAAAATTGGCTTGTTTCTCTGAGCTTGTCATGATAGCAAGTTTGACCCAAACTTGTCCAAACTTCTGTAAACACTGTACGTTCATATCTGCTCCCCACTCCATCATCATGTGGTCTCAGTTATTTTAGTCGATAAAACCCCAAACAAAAGAAGAAGAAACAAAACGACTCGCTAGCAGCAAAATAAAACACAAAACAACAATTTGGTTTGTTCAAATATATCTGCCTTTACTTTTTATTCATGTTCTGTACAGTTTTCATTTTCTCTATCGCACTATATGACAATAATGGTTATCATTTACTACAAAAGGTCGCATAAATAATTTAAATGTGGACGTAAAAAATAAATATGCAGTTCATTCATTTTTTTTTTTWAAAAAAAGGTCCTTCTTTGTGTCTCCGTCGATCCCAGGTTGTCTTTTAATGCTCCCTGACATTCGAGGCTGCCGAGAGCTCGGCTTACATGTCAAAACCCCTTCCAGTTGCTTTTTTTTTTTTTTTTTTTGGTCGAAAAACAAGCAAACAATTGAAGCAATACGAGCAGGAAAAAGCAACTGACAGCATGCGGAAACATCGGGGGGATACTCTGCGTAGAGTTCAGTCCGTTTTGCTGCAGAAGGTCGAGTCGCCGGCCGTGACAGGCCGAGTATCTCTGCTTCCTCACCGGACTCCACCGACCGTGACAATGATAAAACTGAATGATTGTTTATTTTTACTGCTATTTTTCCTGTTTGAGCTATTTACAGAAAGGGCAGCRGAGGTTTCTTCAGTCCCACGGCTGGATTTTGGCTCGACCTCTGCAGCAGGTCTGCACACCGATCTGCACTTTCTTTCTGTGATTCCAGCAAACAGGAACTGGTTACGTCTAGAGAAAATTGCTTCATGTGACTTAAATCCTAAATCAGGAATGGGCTAATTATGGGGACTCACAGGAAAACCCATTTCCCCCCACCCCGTGACATTGGTGCAGATAAAACTTTGCTGTCTTTGTCTTTTTTGCAGGAGTGTGTGGAGCTGTCGGCAGGAAAAGTTTGTCGATATTCCCACCGCAGGAGACCCCAGATCCCCCACGCACAGCCTCGAGGTGATGGATTACCACCGCTCCGGAGAGGAGCTGCACCTTTACGCAATTTAAAGCGAACAGGTTCRGTTCCGTGCTGGATGTTTGCACAGATGGGGGTGGGGGGTTCTGGAGAGGATCTCTTATGTTTTCGGGAGGAAGACTCAAACGCCCCGGGAGGTGATGAGATACTTCTACGGTATTATCTGACACCTCCTGGTCAGTCTCTGGCACGTCCAAGCTGGCGCTGACTCATCTGGTCATGMAGAAAAGCAAAGTTCACAAGTACTAACGAACGACAGACTGATGTCTCAGCCTGGTGAATAGCTTATGAAATCTGTCTTTGATATTTCTCTTGCATCCCTTCATGTGAAGGAGATAKGTTGGGTTTCTGAGTAACATGTGTGTGAGTGTGCTTTTGTCTCTGTCCCTTTCCGGGACGCCTCAGTACGAGTTGCCAGTCAGCGGCGTGCTGTTCTTGCTCCGGTCCTGCTGCGAGCGGCTGTGCTTCTTTTTGGCTTGCCTCCTCGGCACCTCCTTGGCGACGGAGAGGTTGTGGTGGGGCCTGAAGCGCTTGCACTTGCAGGACGTGACCACGCGGATCTTGTAAGTCCGCGCGTTGCCGTTCGGACACTGCAGCTGGACCCGCCGCGTCTGCGAGTGCGCCGGGATGCAGCGGTAGTCGGCGGCGCCGCTCCGCCACCACTTCCCGCGGAGGATGGAGTTGGGCATGAGGTGGGCGGGCAGGCACCGGCCCGAGCACACCAGCTCCCGGACGGGCTTGGCGCTGCGGCACGAGCCGTCCGTGATGTAGCGGTTGGAACGCAGCTCCTTGCAGCTCATCTCCGAGGCACCTGGGTGGGAGAGGCAGAGCGGGACAGTTAGCGCCCGGGGACACGTCTGCAGCTGCTGCACCTCATTCAAACATTTCTCTCACGTCTTTAAAGAGATCCCCGATTAGTTGTTACATTTGACTTTATTTGATAAACATATATTTTAACTGTGACATAAAGACTGTAAAAATACTATAGGATGTTTAGTTTTTATATTTTTTAACTAAAAGTTTAAAAATTCATTACACGGACGGGGCCATTTTATTTACATGCAAAGCATTCTGGGTAAATGATGACATGGATAGGTCATCGGTACGAGGCTGCTAGCGA